TCGTCCTTCTTCTATCATCTATTTAGATCTGATTTTTTGATCTATTTAATAGTAGGTTTGGAGCCTTGAAATTAAAGTCCATTTAGCCCTTCAAAACCACCCCACAAATGCTCCAATTAGATTCCACCTTATTCTACTAACTTTGACTAGACTTTGGAAAGTGCTCAGACAATGGTTCCCCCAAAGGCCCATTAAGAATAAGAATAAACGGATAGACGAGCTGTCAAAATTTAACCTTCTAGAATTTTTTGCTTAGAAGCCAGAAATAATGGTTTGAACCATTTTCGGAAAACAAAAGTTCGGGATTGATTCGAACCAAAATAAATTGGTTCGAATCCAGAACTCTGAACAAGGAGAACATGAATTAATTCTAAGCGTGGGGAAAGATTAGAAACCTTGGATTAATTTTCCTGCACACTTAGCACAAAATAGATTAAACTCTTTTGAATCATAGTTTTAAATCATCATCAAAAAACAAAGAGAACCTAACAATCTCCCCCATTTTTATGATGACAAAATTCCTTAAAATAATAAAGATAACAAGTGTAAGCTCCCCCTCAAAATATGCTTCCAAGTTTCAATAGGAATTGCACAAACAAGTAATAAAGATAATTTTCATTTAAGTTCCTCTTCCCCTTTTTGTCATTAGCAAAAAGAAACATACAAATTAGCAAAATGCAGTAGACAAAAGATAACACCAAGATAGCATCAAAGTCAAACATTTTCTATAATTAAACCAGAATTCTTACCTACTTTGCCAATACCTTTGATGTGACCTTTTGCATTGTCACTAAAAATCACCGTTCCTCTTTCTATTGCCTCAAGGTTCAAGAATTGTGATTTGTCTCATCATATGTCTAGAACACCCATTGTCCAGAAAATTTTTCTTTCTTCAAATTTTCCTTCAAGCTTCCTTGAAAACACAACTTAAGCACTTGATTTTGGTACCCAAACTTTCTTGGGTCCATTTAAGTTAGTCAAACAAGTAGAAATTTTCTTAGGAACCCACTTTAAATTCATCTTAAAGAAATTCTTTCTAGTATAGCACTGATGAACATAGTGTCCCCTTTTTAAACAATAATGACAAATGATACCATAATGAACATGATTATCTCTAGAACTTGATACTTCTACTATGTCATAAGAATGCAAAGTATTACAATTCATAAAAATAGTAGATTTAGATGAGGAAGACTTGGATAATTCAAAAGAAGGTCCAGCTCTATTATGAGGAAATCTTTGTGAACTTAAATTGTTGTCTAACTTACCTTTGCCTTTCACAAAATTGTTCAAAGAACATTCAAGAGAGCTTATTTTCCTTTTTAATTCATCTACCAGCGTATCATACTCTTCAATAAGCTTTTGTTTGCAATTTCTAAATGCAATTGTTGACTCTTCCAAGTCAGTTTCCATATTTTGACTAATTATCTTTTCCTCATTTAAAGATTCTTTCAAATCATTGTTTTCTTTTCTAAGTGACAAAATTTCCCTTTTTAGAGATGCATTTTTTGCACTAATTTGTTTAGTATGCTCATATAATTCACTAAATGCATCTTGCAAATCTTCATATGGCATTTCATCATCACTAGCATGATCAAAAATAGAAGAAGAAATGGAATTTACCTCATCTGTGTCATCATTTGCCATGAGACAAATATGAGCTTCCATGTCACTTACTTCTTTACTAGAAGATGAGTCATCACTGCAGCTCCATGTGGCAACCATTGCCTTCTTTTTCTTTTTGGCTTTTAGACTTTTTTTATCATTGTTTGGACACTCAGATTTAACATGTCCAGCCTTCTTGCATTTGTAGCAGATAATTTCATCCTTTTTACTGCTTTCTCCCTTTCCTTTACTGCTTTTGTAATTTTTCTTTTGTTGTCCTTGATTCTTCAGCTTGTCTTTCCTTAGGAAACTCTTAAACTTTTGAGCAAGCACTATAAATTCTTCATCATCCTCTTCATCAATGTCACTTTCATCTTTGGAGGAGCTTTTGAAAGCTACAGATTTCTTCTTCCGAGAATCATCATCACTTTCACCATTTTTCATGGCCATTTCCTGTGTAAGAAGCTTCCCTTGCAGCATCTCAACAGTCATGGCACTTAAATCATGAGCTTCTTCTATTGTCGTCTTGATTGGACTCCAGGATTTTGGGAAGGAGCGAAGAATTTTTCTGACCTTATCTTCCTCCGGAAGCACCCTATCAAAAAGCTTTAATTCATTAGTGATTTTGGTAAAACAAGTAAACATGTCTTTAATTTCTTCATCTGATTTCATTTTGAACAACTCATATTTTTGAACCAACATGTTAATTTTTGATTTCTTGACTTCATTAGTTCCTTCATGAGCCACTTGTAATTTATCCCACATTTCCTTAGCAGAATCACATGCACTAATTCTATCATATTCACTAGGATGTAAAGCACAAAACAATGCATTTTTAGCTTGAGCATTTATCTGCAATTTTTTTCTATCAGCTTCATCATATGATGTAGGATCCTTAGGAACAAGTTTGTTATTCTGGTCTCTAGCTAATACTTTATAAGGTCCTCTAGCAATGCAATCCCACATCTCATAGCTATTTGCTTCTAACCAAATCTGCATCCTATTTTTCCA